GGACGAGGACTCGCCTGCGATGGAAATCGATATTTGTGTTGCGCTTGTTGATCAATTTCATTGGCTTACTCTTCGAGTATGTGGTATTAATGGAATTTAAATATGTTTCATTTAGAGAACAAACATAGGAAAAGATAATCGAATGAAATACAAATAAATAGAAATCTCAGGTCAACGCAACTCTCTCCAAAATCTCTCGCGGTCCGCACTTAACCCTTTGCACTCGAGAAGCGCCTCTCACTCACCAATTGATTTCATACAGTAGAACTATAAAATTTGATACTTAACATTAAACTTCGTGCAATGCATCAATTTGAGGAATATTCGAACAAAATAGGTTTGTCCCTCGATATTGACACTTAACATTAAACTTCGTACATTGCATCAATTTGAGAAATATTCGAACAAAATAGGTTTGTCCCTCGATATAAGTGTGTTAAAATATTTCTAATGAAAAACTTCCGAGTGCAAAGAGTTAAAACTCATTCTCTCCCCAGAAGCATTCTTCTTACACTTCCAACAAATTCTCAAATACACCCCTCTCTCACCGCCACACACTCGTTATCCTTGCTTACGCATCCCTCGGGAAAACCCACCAACCCTTGGGCCTGGTCTCCATGAGACCCTTTCTCTTTTATGGCCCTCAGAACACTGTCCCACTGTTTATAAGTATTATGTTTGATAATATAGAGAAATTTAGTGGTGTAGGGGATATTCGTATTTTCTTGAGGACGTTGCGAGTGTCAGTGAGAATATTATATGGTATTTAGTAAAATGAAGGTATCCATTTGTTTCACGGCAGTTACCGTTGGCAGATTCTTCTTAATGAAAAATGAGCGCCTCGAAATCTTCGCGTAAGAAGAAAAATTCGTAATTGAATGTTCTTTAGGCGCCTGTGCCTGGAAATGGGACTGGCTAATGTGTCTGTCCATTACTCACTGTTTCTACTCGCAATGAGCACGGACGGCTGTACGGTATTACAACTGTTCCATCAATCTTTCTGCTAGGCGTATTCACTGGTAATGGTCGTCACGTTAAAGCGGCCGTCTCTTTTATTATTCCGATTAGCGTATTGTTCTCAAAATCCAGCAATATATTACTCGGATAACCGGTTCTATCAAATGCACACTACGATATCGAAATTATTCTATGTCAACGTGAACGTTGTTCCATAATCCAAACATCTCAATCATAATACACACACATATATGTATATATAAAATATAAATAACTAAATATATACAAACGACATCACAGTATCATCGATAATAACATTATTACGCAATATCATTCGCTATTACAATTGAGACGCGTGAATTACGGAACCATTGTAATACGATTATTAACAGCATTATAATATTACGGATTACTATAATAACACTGCCACCTAACAATACCATTAATAAGAATATCAACATTACCGTCACTAATGCGAATATCAAATCATTAAATTAAAAGTATCGACAATAATATCCAAAAAAATAACAATATTAATATCAAAAATATCCCAATTCACGAAACGTCCGAACTCCAACACAGTTGCCTAAGTCCCCTCTGCCGAACTTCGATTAAATTTTCGTCTACTTTATTCGCCACCGGCGAAACTCGCGATCTATCCTTGGAGGTATTCATCGCTCGGGAAACGATATATCCGAGTCTCCTTATCTCGCGAGAGAAGAAAGCACAATACCTTTCGCCTCCCTACACGTACAGCGCGCACACACACACGCCTGCATACATACATAGATACATACAGACGTGTATAAAACGAGGATGGCCGGAAGTATACAGCGAGCTCGCGGAATTCCGCAGGACTTTCATCGACGTTACAATAACTGCAATATATCCGGCCGCGGGGCTGCTCCTTCGCGATACCGGGCGACGGGCCCGCGGCTTTCGTGGATGAAAAGGGGTTGGGGACGAGGAGAGACAGGGGTTGGATGTCAAGGAGTGTGAGGGACGACGACGATGCTGCAACAATGGCCGAATATAAATCTAAATCCCGACCGCCATCCTTCCCGCCCTCTTCGCCGACCCGCCTCGATCTTCGCTTGCTCCTTTCCTATCAATCCCGACCGTTTTTCTTTCCCCTCTGATTCATTCCGACCGACTGTTTACCCTCTCCGTAACCCGTCAACCCCGCACCACCGGCTTGTACCGGTTATGTTGACGTTTATTCCCTTTCGAATGAGATTCTATATTTTATTGGTCCCTTTTGTACCTCTGTTAATACTAGCTTCGGAGGATTTATTGATTTCATGGGGATTGAATTTCGTACGTTTTAGCTGAGGAACGGTTACGTTGATTTCAGCCGGTGTGATATTTCTATGTGGCTCTGATCGGAACGGTTTTAGAGATTTTAGAGATTTAACGCATCGTTGACCGGTCACGAGCTAACTCGTGTTCGCACTAGCATTGACTGTTTCAATTTTTGAAGCGCAGAGCAGTGTAGAATATTGCAAAAGCAGAATGTTAGAATTCTATTATTCCTAAAAGAATTGATGCTCGTGTATTTAGATTGTGGAAACTGGAGATTTGATGGTAGGTAATTGGGGTACACGTCAGTGTGATCGCATCAATCAAAATCGGCGTGAACATTTACAAAATGATATTTCTAAAATCCAATATGCGTCAATTTGACGCGTTCCGTAAGCCTAGTGTTAAAAGATGTACCCGAAGTTTCGTTTCAATTCGTTACATACAATAAAGATACATTGAAGCTTATTCGGATTGCTTCACTTTCGTATTTAATTACGGAATAATAACCGGTGACATAGCGTAGCTTAGTAAAACTGCCGGTCAACAATGTGTTAAGAGATTTGTGTTGGATTTGGTATTAAGCTTATTTCAAGTATCGCGACATGGGGTTTGGGTTTTTCTTGGGATCGGTGCTTGTTTGTGAGTTGTCATGGTACGTTGGTGGTCCTGTTGTTGTCAGTTACTTTCTTTAATCAGGAAAAACAGCAGTGAGTTGGGGCTGGAGTATTTCAGTTACCCATTCTTTTATCACTGGTTATATATTGGTCATTTCCAGCGACACTCCATAACTCACGACACGTGATTAAGCGGATACTAAGAATCCCGGGGGAAACCATAAATACGTTCGAAGACGTGTATATTACAAGAACAATTTATGAACCTATAAAATCACGCACCGCTATACAAGAAACATATAATTGCCAATTAAGTAAAAACCCATCACTCCGGTGTCTTCAGGTCCGCCCAAAAGTAAACGTGCAAAACATTCTTCATTACTTATGCAACATTAATAATATAATACTCGAGGCATCAAATATTCATCCACTTTTCGTTTCTGTTCCAACATTCCATCTACATCTCACAGTAAACTATTAACACTTTGAGCTTTCGAATTACAAGAGAATAATTATGACTCGGAAGACAACCGATTTCTAATACAAATTTCCCGTGAATAACTGGATAGTAGAGTAATATAAGAATTCTGATATCAAAGAATTAATAATTCTTGCTTTATATCTTCAACGCTGATGTTTTTCGTGGCAGCACATATAACAGTAAAAATCATTTTATTATTTCTATCACTATCATTACCGCAATATTTACAATCAACACTTTAAATACTGTGCTAAGTCACTTCTGTAAATTCCTTTCTTGTTATCTATGTTACAATATTTTTTGTAAGTAAACTTGAAATCCTCCCCGTCCGTTAACTCTTTGGTGTTAAGTGGGTTAACCCTTTGCGCTCTATATTTCCTATAATGCATCATTTTGAGAAATATTCAAATAAAATAGCTTTTTTCCTCAATCTACGCATGATTTCTCGTCGACTTAGTTTCACAAAATATCGATTTTATCTCATCAGAAAATGTTAAAATATTTCTAGTGAAAAACTTCCGAGTGCAAAGGGTTAATAGTCGAGGTTGCAGTTTGAGTTGTTCTCTTTAGAATCGTGTGCCTCGAAGAGTTAAGGGTTAACTTTATTTCTATACACGCATCGCATCGCGAAATTTCTTATTTCATAACAATCACTGTTACAAGAAACCTCTCGCAAGGTCCACCAATAAAACGCGAGAAAAGAAACGTTAGAAACACCTTTCGTCATTCACTTTTGGTGGCTCGCTCGCGTAGCTCACCTTGAATGTCTCCTTTCCGACCCCACCTTCCATCAAGCTCCTCGCCTTTCTCCCGTACCCCAGGCCGTCCGTCTCTCTCCTCTCATTCATCACCGGCCGCTTTCATTTTCCTCCTCTGTTGCACTTTCTCCGGAGAATAAATATTCCTTCGCGCCGACGAGCCCGCCCCTTATCAGTATTTACGGCCAGACATACGCTCCGCGTCGTTTCCATGGCTGATGCATAAGTCGCGTGCAGTCTGCTCCCCCCTACGCCCCTCTCCGCCATCCCTCGCGCACCCCCTGCGCCTCTAATCCGAGTCTAATGGATGATGCATCCTCGCAGGCTTGAAGCTCCGCTGAAAACGTCGGCGATTGTTCGACCGTCGCTCGAAATATCAAACGATAACGCTGATAAATAATTTGGGTTGCCGAGCATATCGAGCGTAATGGTTCAATTAAATTTCTGATAATTGATTCGTTTCGTTGAACCGTTCGTTCCATTTAGTTTCCGGCTGTATTATGCAGTTCTAATTAATTCCATCGGTCGTTTAATTTTAGAGTTCCGCTTTTTGTTTCTGTCGTTATTCTCGTTTTTCCTTTTTTTCTTTTTCTTTTAAAGGAACGAGACGAGTTTAATTGATTTTAGTCGAGTTTGTTTTAACGTGGTGATTTGAAATAATTGCCCGTGCGATTTTGAAATTGTGAAACGTAATGCAATTCGATGGCGTCGCGTCGACGCGTTGTTCTCGTTTAACGCGCGTCGCGTCGTTTTAATTAACTTGATTGCTCGCTTTTCACTTCAGAAAGCTGTAACGGATCCCGGAATACGGCGAGTCGATTCGATGTATTACTTAACGAGCGCGCGTATCGCGACCGTTAATTAATCGGGCTGGTCGTTTGGTTTCAGAAATCGCCTGGAAAGCAACACGGAACACTGGAACGCCCTGCTGTTGTCGTTGCGCGAGCTCATCGAGTGGGTGATAAGGAAGGACACCGAACTCACCGGTCTTGGTCCTGTCTGCGGTGACGTGGCCGCATTGCAAAAACAACAGGTGAGCCTCGGTACCTGTTACCACCGGTTAACGTTAGTTATCTGCGCCATTTAACGCGCCGTCCGTCTCGTAGAAGAGTTCAACGCTAGATCTACCGAGCATTTAATACGATTAATATGCGATTCCTATAAAAATTGTAACAATAGATTATTTTCTGTTTCCTCAGACATTCGTTATAGTACTCAAATGAAACTATTTATTTTCAAAATCATTTCGAAGATATCAATAATTGCTAAACAAAAAAATCGAAACCAGTCATTTTGACTGGTAGTTCTAGTATTAACGCGGATTTAGTGTATCTTCGTCGAATCTTGTAATTTCTCATTTTTATTATATCAGCAACAATGAAGATGCAGCAGGAATATTTGAATCTTAATAGAATTTAACCCTTTGCAGTCGAAAGTTTTGCACTGGAAATATTCGACACTTTTTAGAGAGACATAAGCGACATTCTTTGAAACTGACTAATAAGGAAATGTACATAAATTAGGAAACAAAGCTGTTTTATTTGAATATCTCACATATCGATGCATTATACAAAGCATAATGTATGTAATACTATAATTCTGCTATGTCGAATCTAGGAATGAAAGAGACCTACATGGACTTACTCAATACACATGCTAACCCTACGTTTACGTAAACTATAATACAAATCCGGTAGCACCCATTACAAAATCGAAATCTGCCACAGTGAAGTTCCATAGAAACTTAAGTCATATTTGAAGTTAATATTTGGACTAGAAATTCAATTAACACGTTGACTGCCACGGTGGTCACCGATGACCGGAGCTTCCAAATGACTTGAAAACAATTGCACCTCGTAAGATAACTGACATCCAAGAAAAATGTTCAACGGTGTAAATAAATAGATAATAATGTAACTTAAAAACTGTAGTACCAAATAATTGATAATCATTTCTTATTATCTTCGTTATAAAAGAAAAAGTGACACACAAAACGCTGAAATTTTCTGTGGCAGTCAACATGTTAACGCGTATGCCTCCAAGGTAGAAATATCCAAACTTAAAATCAATATCTCCAATATTCCAAAGTAAAGATAAAACAACAATAATCAAATTCAACAGAATATTAACGCTAAACCTACCGAGCAGTTAAATTGATTTTTTGAAATTCCCCATAGCAACATCAGGGGCGCATCTGTCGAGACTAATTGATTTGCAATTCGGGTTACATATCGCTAAATCAATTTCTCGAATAATTTCTTCGAGAAATACCTGTCGTCTTTCTAATAATTGCAAAATTTTGACCCGTGTGGTAGGTTCAGTGTTAATCATGCCAAAATAACACTCCTAACACTCCAAAATCACAGATAAAAGAACGCAAACAACAAAATCCAAGGACAACATCAATAACTAATCCCCATAACCGGAAAAGATCTCTAACACGCTGACCCCAAATCCACCCCTTCACAAAAAGCCCCGAAAGCTGGTTCTATCAGCACGATCAACGTCATCTTGAGATCCGCAGAGGGCCGCGCAATCTTGTCTCAGGCAAATAGCCTCGTGTACCTTGAAGCGTTCCCCTGTAACCTACTGCAATGGACTGGATTACACGAAAATGAGGCAATTAGGGGTGCCGGCGTGTGTGCGTGGACACAGCGCGGGGCACGCGTGGCCGCTGCCGTCGAAGGGGGACGATAGAGCAGGCGGGGAGCGGAGGGAGCTTGCGGCCGACCCTCGCCGGCCCAGTTTCCACGCACAAAGACGGACTGGTTCGGAGTAATCCAGATTAGAACGTGCATGTTACCGGGCGCAGCTCCCGCGCGCTTATGCGCCGACCCCCGGCCGAGTGTACAGGGATGATAAGGTGCATGTAACGCGATCCCGATCACGGATGTCATCGACAGACGACACCTGCGCCGCCACTTATCGCGAGCCCGCGCCCGGCGAGCCGGCTAGTCGGTCGTTAATCGCGGATAAGAGTTTCGACCGGTGCCCGAGCCGTATCTTCTGCTTCCCATTGGCCTGGGTTAGGTCCTTTCGAATCTTTAACCCTTTCGCGACGGGTGCCGTGTGTATACGGCAGTCACTTGGTGCACCATTGTCACCGGCTCGGCTACCCTTAGATTATTAATTTTCACTTCGGTGTAACCTTGTGACAGTACTGTTTCTGATTTAGCGTTCATATTCTTTGTAGATTCTTCGTTTTATGTTCTTCAAGCATATATACGGCAGTCATTTATTACTGTACAGCGGCTGACGCCGTCTAGATACGGCAGTCACTTATTGGTTTTTTTATATTATTATTTTATTTCAATAGAGAACTCGAAATAAAGCTATAAATACATTGGTGGCGAAGTATGGTCAGTCGCGCCGTCGCGAAAGGGTTAACACGTTACCGAAGCAGCTTCCAAATGACACGACAATAATTATAAATTGTCAGATAACTAATGGCAAACGGAAATATTTCATAGCGCAAATTACTAGGTAACAGTGTAACATAAACATTGCGATACCAAATAATAAGTAACTGTTCTTCTTTATGTTCGCTACAAAAGAATAAGTGATGTATAAAACTCTGGAGGTTTTCGTGGCACTCAACCTGTTAACCCTTTACGATCGGCACATTTTTCTGATGACAGTACTATAGTGTTACCATAGTATAAACAATGAAAGGGTGGATCTTGAGTAATCGAGAGCTAGGAATAAATATATGTATCTAACCGTTTGAGTGCTGAGGAGCGCTATATAATAATAAACACAATACCTCTCGATCGTAAGATACCACTGTACTCGGAAAGAAAGGACATGCCGCCATATTGGCGACACCGATTTCGAAAACAAATGTTAAATGTCGTCACCGTGGTGACACCGATCGCAAAGGGTTAAAACTCTTCATTACACTCCAGAAGTATTTCACTGGAATCACTCAACATTCTTTAATCGGATACTAACGACATTCTTTCAAACTAACGAGAAATCGCATATAAATTGAGGAATTATATACATCGTTTAATATTCTACATCAGTTTCTTGATATTTCGCGATTTACACCGAAAGTTCTCAGCGAAAGCTAAGAATTCAATAATAAAATAAAGAAGATGAAAATTCTGAAGACGAGAAGTGGTCAATTAACTCTGCCATAAAGCGTCGGCTCGGAATCGTACAGGAGACCACATTGAATTTAATAAATGTAAATGTTATCCAGTTTACGTTGATTGAAGTTCAATTCCGTTCTTCGTTCGCGAACGTTTAATCTTCGCTGCAACTTCGCCCGCGCAGTGAATATATCTTTTTATTTCCGCCGAAACAATGACATAACTCTCGCGACTCCGATAAAAAAGAGCTCGTAAAACACAAAAGGTTCACTTTGTCGGCGGCGAGTTCAGAATTTTCCACGGAATAAAATATTTTTCGTTCCCCGGGAAATTCGTTCTGTATGGGGTTAATCGGGTCAGGTGATTACGCCGGAGGGGGGCGAATAAATAAACTCGAGCCGCGACAGTATCGATCCCGTGCGAACGGGGCACTGCTAATTACCCGGGGGCTGGAAAGTAAGTCGGGATATGGGTCGGCTCGCGGGGCTGGATTTGAAGGAATTCGGGGTGTGAGTTCGGATATCGAGAATTCAGGGTGGAACCTGATCGATCGCTGGCTCGTTTCGAACTGTTGCTATCTGGATTTGCACGTTTCTCCGTTGCGATAGTGCACGCGGAAACATTCGACTTCGAATACTGATGGTCGAACGTGAATGCCAAATCCGCCAACATATTCATTGAAAACTGCGTGCGTCAAGATCTATCCGAAAGATCTCGCATTAACCTTAACAATTACTACCCCAATTTCTCCTGAAACATTGGCAGATCAAAGCTATTTTATATCCGCATATCGAATCTACAACTAAAAGCTTCGAAACGCTGAACACTGAAATAGAGATACATTAGATGATCAATTCTTTTAGTGGAAACAGAAACAAAAGGAAGGATGAAATTTAGAAAACCAATCGATCGGACAATATAGGAATTGATATAAAATTAGGTAAAGAAAACGCAGAATTTTCAATCATTTGACTTCCCGGTACGGTAGTGTTAATTATTAGAATTCCCTCCAGATTCAAAGAGGATTGATCCAACTATTCGTCCTCAGAACTAACGATTCTCAAAGTAGCTGTAACAGCAACCCTTCAGCTGGCAGAACGAACGACAGAGTCGTAGAGCAGTCGCGAACGCGAGCCCGAAGAGAGCTGAAATAATTCCGTACACGGTGAACGGGCGCAATTCAATTTTTATCTGCGCGGTGCTAACGATAAAACATAATGTATTCTGCGCGATAGCAGTTAGTCGAGGCCGATGTACACGAACAGCAAATAAAACCGAGCAAAAAGGCCGTGGCGTACAGGTGTTTCGAACAATAAGCGAGTTTCGGGGTTTACGTGATGTGCCAATGTCGCATCTGCGATGCATGAAATTCAAATATCGTTCTCTAAAGGCCGGTCTAGTGTCCTCCGCCGGTTCTTTTGCTCGCCGCCCCGGAACGCTTTTGCCCCGGCCGACGTCGCCGTCGTCGTCGCCCGGCGTCGACGTCGTTCGCGACGTGACAACATGCAGCTGCAACACGTGCACGTTATCTGCGCACTCAGCCTCGCGCCTCCCGAATGAAAACGGTATTCGAGTGGCGAGGTTACGGAACGAGGGAAATTTCGTTCCGCCGCATTTAGATATAATTGTTTACCGGTTCGCCGGCGACGGCCACTCGTGCCCGTTCGTTTATCGATTCTGGCCGGTTTTATTCGGATTCCATTGTCACCGGCTCGGCTGCCCTTAGATTATTAATTTTCACTTCGGTGTAACCTTGTGACAGTACTGTTTCTGATTTAGCGTTCGTATTCTTTGTAGATTCTTCGTTTTAGGTTCTTCAAACATGCCGATTTCGAATTTGTAGGTGTTTGAAACAGAAATGTCTAATTATCAAACTATTATAGTGTTACTATAGTATAAACATTGAAATGGTGGATCTTGAGTAATCGAGAGCTAGGAG